CATTCATCCACTTATCCACTCACTCACTCACTCACTCAGTTAAGTACTTAGCAAATACTTAGTGCATGCCCCGCACTAGGCTCCAGGCAATGACAGACACCCACCCAGCCCTCCTGGGGCCTCCCTCTCCTGAGCAAGACAGACCACGAGGAAGCGAGCAACTTCAGGAGGTGAAGAGGCCTGGGACAACGCTAACAGGTTGACATGTGAGGGGATACCTGGTGGCAGGTAGAGAGGTTAGCACAGACCAGGAAAGGCAGGTGCGTGGGGGAGGGGTGTTTCCGGCAGAGAGAACAGCAAGTGCAGAGAGGCCTTGACTGGGGGATGAGCTTGGTGTGTTTGAGAGAGGGGACAACTGGAAAGTGGGGGTGTGAGATAAGGTGGGGGGTCAATTGTATGATGATGAACAGGAAGTAGACTTTTGGGGGTGATCACTTCGTAGTGTATACAAGATGTCGAAATGAAATGTTGTACACTTGAAACTCACATATAAATATTTTAAAAACCTTCCAACATTGAGAATCAAGGGTTTCCCAACCTGCCGGTGCTTGGGAGGTAGCTACTCACATAAAAAGTATTATCATAAGTGCTTAAATTCATAAAGCAAAATACTGGGGGGAAATGATTTGATGGGCAATTTTGATGGTATGTATATTTTACCAAAATAAGAGCTGAAAAAAAAATCTTTATGTGAAGAATCAAATTCCCATTCTTCTCCCCAGATCTGCCCTCTAGCCCCGTTCGTCTTCTCCCTCACCTGCATAACCAACAGAAGAAGACACTGTCTCCTTCCCCTTGCCTCTGCTCTGGTCCAAGCCCTCATCTCTCCTGGCTCTGAGGATGACAAGGCCTCTGATTGGCCCCTGCCCCTCATACCCTTCCCTACTGCCGCAGAGGAAGCTGCTTAAAATTTAGACTCGGTCATGTCACTCTCTTGATTGAAATCCCTCACCAACTTCCCACTACCCTTGGATCACACTCCAAACTGGCCCTGCGGCTTTTCCACCTGGTCTGGCCCCTCTTTGTCATATGTTGTGCCCTCCACCTGGATCCCCCACTGTCCCTGAACTGCCCTTTGATTTGCACCTGGAAAGCCCTTTAGATATGTTTCTTTACAGCACAAATGACGGTTATCATCACATGCAGCTACTCCGGGATGTTCACTGTGGGATCTCCAGCGCTTAGTAGTGGCCTGGCACATAGTAGGCACCAAGATATATTGTGTTAATAACTGTCTCTCATCCTTGCCTCAACTGAGTGAAGCTCCTGGAGGGCACAGCCTGGCCACTGCCTTGCTCACAGCAGCATCTGGGCCTCACTCCATCTGAGAGGCAGGGCGGGCTCTCAGAAGCTATTGTACGAATTAATAAGTGGTCCAGGGCTGGTGTCCACGCATGTCTGCCTGCTGGGCCCTCAGGCTTGGCACAAGTGGGCACTGGAGCATGAGAGGGAGCAGGCGGGACAGGACGCACAGGAAGAAGGAGTGGGCTTGGAGGAGACCTCCAGTCAGGAGAGTCCCTTCACCGGGGCTGGGTTAGGGGAGGCCTCACCCTTCTTCAGCAGGGTCCCCAGGACGCGGGAGATCTCCAGGAGGACAGCAGTGCCACTGCTGGGGTCCACGGCCCCGTGTACCCAGCTGTCCCGGTGGTTTCCATACATCACATAGCGGTCTGGAGGGAGTAGAGTGGGAAGCCAGAGAAGAGGGCGGGGTCAGCCAGGCCTGGGGGGCCGGAGCTCAGAGCGGGGCGGGTCCCGGGGCGCAGGGAGCCGGGAGGGGGCGCTCACCAGGCTCCACAGCCCCGCGGATGATTCCCAAGACGTTGGAGGAGTTCCGTAGTTCCAGGCTGTTGTGGATACTCAAGTTCACCTGGCTGAGGGAGGAAACGAGGCGGCAAGAGTGTTGACCCTGCCCATTCCCCCAACTCTCCACCCTCTAACCCCCGACCCAGTGCAGGAGAAACTGAGGCCCAAAGAGGAATAGACATGCCGAGGTCACTTGCCCAGAAGTACCAGGAGAGGCAGTAAGGCTAGAGTCCAGCACTTCCGATTCCAGTTCTCCTTTCATTCATCCACTCATCCACTTATCCACTCACTCACTCACTCGCTCACTCGCTCACTCAGTTAAGTACTTAGCAAATACTTAGTGCATGCCCCGCACTAGGCTCCAGGCAATGACAGACACCCACCCAGCCCTCCTGGGGCCTCCCTCTCCTGAGCAAGACAGACCACGAGGAAGCGAGCAACTTCAGGAGGTGAAGAGGCCTGGGACAACGCTAACAGGTTGACATGTGAGGGGATACCTGGTGGCAGGTAGAGAGGTTAGCACAGACCAGGAAAGGCAGGTGCGTGGGGGAGGGGTGTTTCCGGCAGAGAGAACAGCAGGTGCAGAGAGGCCTTGACTGGGGGATGAGCTTGGTGTGTTCGAGAGAGGGGACAACTGGAAAGTGGGGGTGTGAGATAAGGTTGGGGGGACCCCACAGGAACTTGTTGGCCACGCGGCTGTTTCAGAGAAGAAAGGGCAAGGTCAGGCCTTGAAATTGGCAGAGCTGGGGAAGCACAACAAGGAAAGAGGAGAGGAGAGTTGGGGGAGGAGGGGGCCCCATCTCACCTGCTTGCGAAGGCACCATCCGGCTGGAAGCCGGGCCCCAACTTGTAGTCACAGCCCAGTGCTCCTTGCCAGGCAGCCGGGGCTGAGGTTCCTTGGAGGTTACTGGGGAGGAGGGGGAGACCCTTCAGAGCACATATGGGTGGCCACTGGAGGATGGGCAGGAGACCCCAGGGCACAAGCTCACCAGAGAAGGACTTTGGCATCCTCGAAGCCAATGGGCTGAGTGGGAATTGGGGGAAATCCGGAGGCAGTAGTAGGGTCCAGGCGGAAGGAGGAAGGGTTGGCTGGAAGATAGGGAGTCAGGGGGTCCCCAAAATACTCGTAGTAGGAGCCTCTCTCTACCCCCGAGGGAGGCAGGTACCAAGAGTGCGGGAAGGTCTCATTGGGCAAGCTGTGCCCATCGTTGATGTCTGCGGGATCTGTGTACACCAGCACCCCAGCCACCTGGTACTTGGCAGCGTTCACAGCCTGCAGGGGAAGAAGGAGGAGGGCGAGGAGGATATTTTTAGGGGAGAGTAAGAAAGGCGCACACCCTATTTTGCTTGCACCTTCCCTCACTGTAACAGAGTTGAAACAAGGTTACCACAGGCTGGAGATGGGGAAAGAACTAGCACTTAATGGGAACAGAGTTTCATTCGAAATGACAAAAGAGGCCTGGAAATGGATGATGGTGATGGTTGCCCACTTTGTGAATGTTCTTAATACCCTGCAGTGTACACTTAAAGATGGTTAAAATGATAAATTATTATTATTTATGCCTACGGCACCTGGTCTTCCTAGGTGGTCTCCCATCCAGGTACTAACCAGGCCCGATCCTGTTTAGCTTCTGAGATCAGACGGGATCAGACACATTTGGGGTGGCATGGCCGTAGACCAAAATGGTAAATTTTGTTACAAATATTTTACCACAATAAAAACAAAATAGTACCGTTAAAAAAAAAAAAAGAAAGAAAGCAGAACAGGGACAGAGTTTATATAACAATTGAGGGCGATCTCTAGGAAGTATTAAGGTGAAAAAAACACATCTCAGAGCAGTGGGTCTGGTATCCTACTGCTATGTAAAAAGAGAAAGAGCGAGGAAAAAGAATATATATTCTTATGCTCTTCGTCCAAAAGAAACTCTGGATAGATATTCCATAAACTAAAAAAAAAATAAAAATAAAAAAGCGGTGACCTCTCTGGAGGATGGCATTACAGGAGAACGTTTTCACTTTATACAGTTTTTTTTTTTAAACTAGAAATTCTATAATCCGTATAATTCCACCAGGCCTATTCTCCTTTCTCTTTTTGATTCTGTTTTCTTTCTTCCTTTCCTTTTTCTTTTTCTTTTTTCTTTCAGCTCTTATCCTAAACACTTTATGAACTGTGATAAAATGCACATAACGTAACATTTACGATCTCGACCATTTTAAAGTGTACGTACAGTACGGTGGCATTAAATGCAGTCACGTTATTGTCTAGCATCCCGGCCACCCATCTCCGTAACTCCTTTCATCTTGCAAATCTGAAACTTTATATCCACTAAACACTAACTCTCTCTCACTCTATAGCTTTTTATATGAAAAAAAGCATTTTAAAACCACAGACATGTTATACTTCATCAAAATTTTTAATTGAAAATAAGCAGGTTGCGGGGAAGGCAACAGGAGAAGTTGAATAATCAGAAAAACTATTTCACAGGAGGACTCAGACTCTCAGAATATCAAAGCTGAAAATTTTGCCCAATTCGTTTATTTCCTAAGGCTCAGAGAGGTTAGGGGAGGCATCGAAGGTCACACAGCACATCAGTGCTACAGCACAAATACAGCTCGGCCCCACCATTCAACACTGCTCCTTCCCTGTCCCCTCACTTCCTCCTGCCCACGGCTGGGCCTGTCTCCCCACCCAGCCCCCTGCTTTGGGGGCTGCTGCTCACCTTGGCCCCGCGTCCTATACCCCCGTAGCGGGTCAGGGCGATGGTGCCTTTGAGTTCGATGCCCTGAGTCTGTAGCTCCTCAAAGTCTTCTTCCATGCCCCAGTTGGCATAGACGAGGAGGCCCTAGTCCCAAGAGCACGTGATCCTTAGAGCCAGGCCCAGGAAAGGCAGAGTGGGGAAGGAGAGGAAAGGCCAGATAAAGGGTTTAGATTCTGTCTCCCCCACTCACCAAGAGCTTGTAAGCTCCCCAAGGACAGAGTCACACCTGGTTTCCCCTGTGTCCAGGTACCCTGTATCAGGCCCGGCCTTGAGCAGAGGCCATTAGCGTTTGTTGAATGACTAGATGATGGGTGAAAGGAGTAGCAATGGAAGTGAGTAAATTCCGGGGGTGAGGGGCTGAACCCCAGTTGAGGCACTTTTTCTCAACTGCCCCTGGGTCAGAATGGGAGCAGCTGGAGCGGGAGCCAGGGGGAGCTGGGCCATGGCAGTGCAGAGGGGTATTCCAGGCCCACCTGTGGGGTTCCGGAAGGGGCATAGGCAGCATAGGGTGACACCACATCGGGCCCTGCCTGCTCCTCAGTCACGTTCTCTTCGCTCTGGCGACAGGAGAAGAGGATGTCCCCAGTGGGAGCCACTGTGGAGGGGGAGGGCAGAGTCAGGGCTGGGCCCCACATTTCCCTCACCCCACAGGCATCTCTAAGCCAGAGCAGGGCCTCACCAACGGCCACGCGGTTAGGCTGCTCCTGGCTGGGGAAGGACAGCAGCACTTCATACGTGGAGGTCCCAGCCGAGTCCAGGCCTGACTCTGGGTCTCGCCAGCGCTGCAGCAGCAGCTGCACTAGCGCCTCATCCCGGGGGCTGGAGGCCAGGTGTGGCTCCCTGGAGAGTTCTCTGCAGTGTGGGCAGAGGCAGGGGCAGGCCCAGCGTCATGGAGGGCCTCTGGGAAACAGAAGGGACACATAGACAGGCCTCTCACCTAAGATTCTCGCGGATCCTACTGGCATCCAGCTGTCCCATAACGGTCTCAAGGATCTCCAGGTCCAGGTCCTGGGAGACACTGGGGGCTAGCGGGTCAGCCCCTTTGGGAATGGCAAAGTGTCCCAGGATGATCCCCAGCCCCAAGAGGGCAGCAACCCCCACAACTCCCCCAAGCACCTTCACCCACTTCATCCTGTGGAGTCTTGGCCAACTGGGGTGTGTTTCCTTATAAATGAGTGTCAGATCTAGATAACCATTACCCTATGGGTGGCCCTGCCCTTTGGCCCCCTGCTATCAGGGGGAGTAAGGGAGTGTCCTTCAGGGAGGGCCAGGAGCTGTTTAAATCACCTCAATTTCTATGTCATTCACCTAGAAGAGACCTCCAGGGGTACTGAGTCCACACAGGGACACTGAGGTCCAGGGAGGGACCAGGTTACATCCAGGGTGTCCCAATAAAACAGAAGCCAAGCCAGATCTGAAACTCAGAGTCCCCGTGTCCAGAGCAGGGCTGTGCCTACTACCTACCACCCCAGTCTCCGTCTCCTCCGTGTCGTTCGATCGCCAGCACATGCAATACTGGCTCCTTGAGCAGGTTTTGAGTTCAAATCCCACCCTTCCTGACCTTAGACAATTCACTTAGCTTTTCTGAGTTTGTTTTCTTAGCGGTAAAATGGGGATAATAGAACCTATTTCACGAAACTGTGGCGCTGTTTTCATTAAACAAGACCACATCTGTAGAAATATCTAGCCCAGTGTCTGGCACATAGTGGTAGCTCAGTACATTTTAGCCAGTTCTGTTTCACCTGACCCCCTAAAATGCGAAGCCTGGAGCTAAAAGAAGAGGAGGACCCAGAAGAATTCTCTGCATCTAGCCTGCTGGGGTCCCAGCTTATGGGAGGAAGTAGAACTCTAGAAAGGAAGGCTGTCGTAGAGGACAGAAAGAAAGCCCACACTTCCTTGGCAAGGTGACTTCCTCTTCCATCCCCTGACCCTGTCTGGAATCTAGTTACCTGTCCATCCATCCATCTACCTATTTGTCCACCACTCGCCCTCATATTCACCCATTCACCATCCATCCGTCCATGTATTCATTTATCCACCCATCCATGCACCAACCCATTTATCCACCCACTCTCCTATCTACCCATCCACTCCCCCTCCCAATCCATCCATTTACTCACTGTCACTTATACCTGCAAGCATCATTCATTCCTTAAGCTCTATGCTAGATCCATGCCAGGCCCTAGGTGCCGCGTCCTCTTTCTACCCTACTGCGTGACAAGGTCCGGAGATGGGGACAGAGGCTTCAAGGAATGCATCGTCAAGAACGAGGACGTGGCATGTGTTTAGGGATAATTGGTTTCTTAGAAATGATCCTATTAATAGGGGGAATTCGGGTAGCACAAATTCTAGTAAGTGTAGACGCTATACAAATGGATTTCCTCAAAATTGGCTCCGAGGAAAACATAGTAAATTCCCCGCATATGGAATCAGCTCTAGTCACCCTGACGTGTCCAGAATGCGTAAACCCTTTATTTGAACAATTATTAAGGGAAATTCCTTTTGACGCGCCTCTAAAAGATATTATGAATAAATTATAACAAGCTGTATTACTAGAACCAGTTTATACTCCTGTTCCCACGCAGTTAGTAGAAAAATTAGTAAGGATAAGATATTTACTCATAAGCCTGTGCCTACTATAGAAGGGCCTCCTTTTGTGGCCTAGTGGATAAATAGAAAACTCTGGTATCCACCTAGGGGGG